CAGAAGACATATATGGCAGGTGGGGTGGGGGAAGGGCTTGTGCTTTGGCTTTAAGCGTGCCTCTTGGATGAAGCAGCTTGGGTAAAGGAAGGGAGAGAGAGCAAGCAGGAAGAATCCTTCCTCCAAGCTAGGTTATAGGCAGTGCTCTCATATCCCTGGTATTGGCAGGTCCTAACTCCAGGCCACCTGATGCCCATATTCTGTTCCAAAGACCCCAGTCCAGGCTTTAGGGCATACCCTCAGGCTCTCTTACCCACTAACCCTCTAGGTTCTGTTTGTTTTCCCCCTTCTACTTTCTTCTGTGCCATTCCTCTAGGCTTTTACCTTGCCATGTGACAGGCTTATGTAGGAAACTAATGGGTCCCAATGACTGCCACACACACACACACACACACACACACACATAAACACACACATGCATACATGCACGCACACACACACACACGCACACACACACATGCCTATACATAAGGCTGCGTGCGATGGCTCTCACCTGTAATCCCAGCACTTTGTGAGGACGAGGCGGGTGGATTATTTGAGCTCAGGAGTTTGAGACCAGCCTGGGCAACATGATGGAACCCTGTCTCTACAAAAAAGTACAAAAATTAGCCAGGCATGGCAGTGCTCACATGTAGTCCCAGCTACTTGGGAGTCTGAGGCAGGAGGATTGCTTGAGTCCAGGAGGTCGAGGCTGTAGTGAGCCATGTTCATGACCTGGGTGACAAAGTGAGACCCTGTCTCAAAAAAAATTTTATATATCCATATATATCTCCTTGGTGTGTGTGTGTGTGTGTGTGTGTGTTTGTGTGTGTAGTGAGACACAATATGACATAGTGCCTAAAAGCATATACTCTGAAGCCAATCCTACGTTGGAATCTTTTTTCTGCTAAATACTGTGTGTCCCTGAGAAAGTTCTTACCCACTCTGTTCTTCATATTATGGGGTTAACAATAGCACTAAATCAGAGTTGTTGCAGATATAAAAGAGATAATAATTGTAAAGAGTTTAGTTCCTGTGCCTTGTAGCTACCAGGATATTAGACCTAATAGACAACCCCCTATGGAAACAGCTTTCCATTTTAACAAGGGACTTTGATAAACACATGCGCTGAGTACAATACTCTTGGCAGATCAGTTATTTGAGGGCATTCAGATGACAGCACGTGAGCAGATGCCTATTCTGTCTGGGTGTTAGGGGACAGCACTAGGTGACTTGGCTGCTGTCTCTGGTCTTAAAAAAGCAAGTACTGCCCAGACCCTGGCAATTGAGGATAAGACAATAATAGCAATGTTGTATTCAGGAGCGTTGCTTTAAATAATCCTTCTCCCTAATAGCTTTGCCCCTGGCATGTGACAGGTGTTTACATTATTAAGTAAAAGCATTTAAACAGTGACCTCCTTGGTATAAGGGTGAAGGAGATTAAAATCCAAGCAGTGCTCCAGCTATTTAAATCAATGAGACTTGTCAGATCTGTAACACATGAGCTACTTAGAGGGCGCAGGCACCTATTGTTTTTGAGCTGCGACTAATATCTCAATATGCTCCTTCCCTCCAAGTCTGGCCAGGCCCTGGGATGCTCATTAAAGGCTGGTCTGACCATGGCTTCTTTCCCTGTGGAAGCAGCATTAACTAACTGTTGGCTAGATACGTGCCAAATAGTTATGCTATTAGGGAGGATCAGAGCTTGAGTTAATTCCTGCTTAGAGAAATGACCTTTCACAGAACTCCAGTGGTAAGTTCCTTAGCTGACCAGAAGCAGGGACCATAAACATTGCCCCCATCTTCCGCTAGAGGGTGCTAAACCAGGCTGCTTGGCTTTGCCTACAGTCATCCTTTCTTGAGTTGTGTTTTCCCAGTCTTTAGCTATGACATTGACGACTTCAGGTCCACCTGCAGCATTGAGGAACCAAGTTTCTGAAACTTAAATCTCTCTCTTTTTTAAAGCTTCATGCTCTCATCATGAACAAGAAACTTCTCTCTTCCTTAATAATCAAACTTAGAGCCTTCATTTGTGTCAATGGAAGGGAAGTCTCCATGTAAGAAGAGCAGCTGGACCTTAAAGATCCAACTCTTATTCCTCAAGATTTATCTTCCCCTTGGAGGTCTCTAGCTAATTTCTGCAGGTCCTACAAAGCTGCCTTCAGAGGGCACTGATTCATTATTAATTCTCCAGTTCTAAGCAGGCGAGCAGGGTGGGGGACACTTGAACCTTCTTTTAATTCCTTGGATTCACAGCTGAGGCGGGTTGGCCACAAAAGGAACTGCACACAGGTAGGGTTACAAGGCAAAGTTTACTTTTCCTCAATTTATGGTCCCATATGTCGGCCTGTCTGACTCATGGAATGTTGCCAGGTGGAGGGTTCCTGATGCCAAGAGACCGCTTAAGCCTCATCTGTGGAAGTGCTGGTTCAGCAGAGGGTGAAGCACTTTCTTCCTGGGTGGTCTCAAGGTCTCTTTCCTTGGTGATTGACTTTGGGAAGTTATCCCCCTCACAGGAAAGCCCTACTTCTACCCACAGCAGCGGCGTGAGGCCATAGCCTCTAGTCTCTACAGGACTTCTTTGTCAAAATGCAACATCAAAGGGTTCATAATCCCGGGCTGCTCACGGTGTCAGGACCAGCCGCACAAGTATCACCTGGGGGCCTGATAGAAATGCAGAATCTCAGGCCCTCAGCCCTGCTGAAACAGAATCTGCATTTTAATGAGCTGCCAAGATAGTTTGTGTGCATGCTGCAGCTTGGGAGATGGTGATAGAGCAGAGAGAAAACCTTTTGTATGCACTCTCTCTCTCCACCACAAGAAACAACTGCATTAAAGCTTGGTTCAAGGAAAAGCCCTGTGATGTCCCTGTCCTTTGGAGCTGAGGAATTAACATGGGCTCTGTGGGGTTTTTCTGGAGGATGGCAGAATTGTTGGGGATGCTTGAACTTCTGAGAATGTTTGAAGGGAGAAGGAATGTAACGAACCTTCTGCTCAGAGCAAAGCGATGAGACCGCATCATGGGTTGGAGAGCACTGCACAAGTTACTTTGCTTGTTTCTATAATTGTGGTCAGTACCTCTGCCATCTGCCATCTTCCTACAACAGTGTAGGCCTCTAGAAGGCCTGGAGCAAGATCAGCACCCAGGTGGAGGCCTCTTAGAAGAAAAAACCCTATCAAAGTGCAGGGGACTCCCAGAAAATGCAACATTCATTCAGGTCAATCAATTCTGTCAAAAGTTCATTCAATGAAAATAGTACCAAGTGGGTACTTGACTGCTTAGTCTGTTTAGTCTCCACAGCAACTCTGAGGTCACAGATAAATACAGTCTCAGGCATGGGAGGAAATCTCGTATGTATTCAGTGAGGCAGTAGATACCCCTCTGTCCCCGACTTGCTAGCTGTGTGACCCAAGGCAAGTTACTTACCTTCCCCAACCAGTAGCTTCTCCATTTTAAAATGGGTTATCAGAAGGTATTGATCCTCTGGGTGTGTTGTAAATGCTAAGCTTAATATTCACTCATGATGGCTCATGCCTGTAATGCCGGCACATTGGGAGGCCCAGGCAAGGGGACTGCTTGAGCCCAGGAGTTTGAGACCAGTCTAGGCAACATAGTGAGACCCACTCCCAGCAAAAAATAGAAAAAAGTTAGCCGAGTGTGATGGTGCATGCTTGTAGTCCCAGCTACTCAGGAGGGTGAAGTGGGAGAATCACTTGAGCCCAGGAGCTCAAGGCTGCAGTAAGCCATGATTGTGCCATGCCACCATTACACTTCAGCCTGGGTGACACAGCAAGACTCTGTTTCAAAAAAAAAAAAAAAAAAAAACCACCCTGTAATGGTATTACCCATACTTAAAGTCTTCTCTATAGGAGGTAAGAATGATATTTCAGGAGTATAAGGAATCTTGATGTCACCTTATGGAAAGGGGATGAGAAAGAAGATGAAAAAGGCTTGTTTTCATTTTGCCAGAGTCGTGGATTGCAGTTCTAGGTCTGTTTTGCATCCCCATAGTCCTAAACAAGTGTAACTTCCAGAGCCCAGGAGGAATTCTGGATGAAATATCAGCCACGAGTAGGACCGTGACAGCTGTAGGTCACTTGGGCCATAAAGTTAGTTAACGGGGAAGACAGATGAATGAGTGTATTGTGGCAACATATCAGAAGATCTGAGGCATAAATAGTGTTGGAAAATAATAAGACAGTTGGTTCTTGAGGATCAACATTGCAGGGAAGGAGAAATGCACAGCAAAAGACCACGTTGTGATTTTGGACCTTGGCCGGAGATACACATTCACTCTGCCCCTCTCCTCTTCAACCTCACCTTCCACATCCCGTGACCTGGTGGGATACCAGTGGGCATGAGATCCCATCACAGAGAGGAGTTTGAAGAGTCACTAACAAGCTTGTAAAGAACAGGTACTTTCTAAGGAATATTCACTCTTGCAGCTGCATTCCTGGGGCTTAAATATCACACTGTTTCCCACTGACAAATGATTTCGGGTAGGGAGATCTCGTGAACTTGTACTAATGGCAGACACATTTGAATTTTTTTCTTTTTTTTTTTTTTTTATTCTTAAAGCTAACTGCTGAAAGCAAATGTGAAAAAAATTTATCTCCCTCTGTTTTATCTCTGGGAGAAGATAAAAATACGAGGTGTTTTAATTTGGCAGTGATCTGGGCGCCTTCCGCTGGCCTGTTTTCCTTTTGCGAAGAGCTCCCACTTTCCGGACTGCCGTTTCTTTGATCTTATATTCTCTCTGTTCAGGTACCCCTTTGTGCCTACCTGAATCGTGTGTAACAAATCATCTTAATTACTTCAGGCTTCGCTTCCTCCTCCAGTTCTCATTTTCTGAAATTCCTGCGATGGCTACCAAATAACTCAGTGTGGGGCTCCAGCCCTTGGAAACAGCACCAGCAGCAACCAGAGGAATTTCAAAGTTAGTTAAAAGGCACAGGAGGAGTGAGGGAATTGAATGAGAACCTTCCTACCCACCCTGGTTTTCAGCCTGGAGAGTTAGAGCTGCCTCTACTCCAATTCCATGTGCTTTGCAGGGCTCAGCCCTCACACCTTTCCTCGTAGAAGAGAGAATAATTAATGTCGTGACTCCTTGGCGTGGTAGCTAGAGCCCTGCTGTCATCAGCAGTGCCCCAAACGCAGCAGGAACACGTACGGTATTTCAAAGCCCAGGCAGGCAGAGAAGCGGGAAGGAACTGGTGGCGTGATTTGACTTGCGGGAGCTCCCCGGCGCAGCCAGTAGGAGGCCCAAGCTAGGCGAAGAGAGGGTCGTGGGGAAGCGGGGCGCTCCCAGGACTCGTCACTGGGTTGGAGCTGGCCCGCTTGTGTGGCTCCAGTTCCAGGAAGGCCGGGTGGCGTGGGGCTGTCTTTTAAGCGGCCGTTTGGAAGAAGAACCTCTGGCGGAGAGGTGCTGAGGCAGGCTGGACTGTGATCCTGCACGACCGGCGGCCTAAGGGGAGGTAATTGGGGACCGCGAGCTGACACTGCGGAAAAGAAAATGTAAGCCGCGCAGCCGCATCAACGCCTTCCTGACAGCGGTGTCTGTTAGTCCACGGCGTCCGCTCCTAAGGGGAGTTGCGAAAGACCCATTCCGGAGGCATTTCACGGGGCCCCGTAACACCCGGGCGAGTGAGCTGCTGAGAATTGCATGGCTCCTTGTGGGGCCAAACGGTTCTAGGAGAGCTGGCCGGGCGGCCGATTGCTTGGACGTCCCCCTCCCCGCCTCAACTCTGCTTGCAGCGACATTGGGAGGTCCCGTTAGAAGCTCCTTGGGCGGGATCTGTCCACCATGCCGCGGCGCGGAGTGGGAGAGGTTTCGGTCTCTGCCAAGGGAAGGTGCAGTTGAGTGCATCGCCGTGAAGACCACGCTGTGGGGGCCTGTTGGGTTCGATAGAAATTTCAAAATAAAAAATTTTCACCATCCTCGTTGGGTGATGGTTTGTAGAATATTTTTGAGGGAGTCTAGCTTGAGGCGGACAGACTCACTCATCTGGTACACTCTTTTTCGAGAACATGGTGATAAAATAGGTAGGGTCTAACGGGAAGGTGTCACTCCACTCCCTTTCCCAAGAGGGCTTCGAGGGACACCCAAGTGACCAGGATGTGGCTTCTCCTGTGATAGCCATCTGAGAACTTTTTTCTCTGTTCTTTGCTTGCTTCTAGTCAGAAAACATGGCCTGTGTTAGGCGCCCTAGGAGACAAAGTGGATTAGACCTGGGCCTAACTCCAGTTTTTTCTTTTAAAATTCACTCCAGTTTTTTCTTTAAAAAAATAACTCCCCAGGTGTTTCTAATGTACAGCTGTTTTTTGTTGGGAATTACTACATTAAATTACCTTGAAGACTCTTCTCATTTCAGATATTTTTTAGTTTCCTAATTGTTTTTCTAAAATTTTTAATTTTTTAATTTTTATTTTTAGTAGAGGTGAGGCCTCCCTGTGTGGCCCAGGCTAGTCTCAAACTCCTGGGCTTAAGCGATCCTCCCACCTCAGCCTCCCAAAGTGTTGGGATTACAGGCCTGAGTCACTGTGCCTAGCTTCCTCTAGTTCTTGAGCTCTTCTAGGTCCACTAGATTCTCTTTCACCAACATGAAGTAGGATCATTTTAGTTAGGGTCAAAGTATAACCTTAAATTCCAAGTGACACTGTTCTTTTGTGACCACTAACCCCCCAAAAGCTATTTTTCTTGTGATTTCAAAACTTCTCCTCTTAAATCATCCTGCAAATTTTACTGAACCTCTACTACATACCAGAGGCCCCATTCTAGGCATTGGGGAAAAATACAATGGTGCAGACAAGGAGCCTGTTCTCATGGAGCTTACACTCTGGAATCAGATCCAGATCAGTAGGAATTTCCTCTTTATTTTGTTTTAGTCTCTTTCTTAAACTTTCAACTATATTCTTCTGGTCACTCATTCCCACTTCATCCTAGGGCAGAAACATAAATGAATCCACTTTTATACTTGGTATTATGCGCTGAACGTTTTTGTCCCTCTCAAATTCATATGTTGAAATTGAATCCCTAATGTGATGGTATTTGGAGGTGAGGCCTTTGGGAGGTAATTAGGTCATGAGGAAAGAACCCTCATGAATGGGATTAGTGCCTTATAGGAAGAGGCAGGAGAGCTAGCTCATGTGCTTGCCACCTTGGGAGGATACAACACGAAGTTGGCAGTTTGCAACCTGGAAGAGAGTCCTCGCCAGCACCTGACCATGCTGGCACCCTGATCTCTGACTTTAGCCTCTAGAATTACGGGAAATCTGTTATTTATAAGTCACCCAGTCTATACTACTTTGTTATAGCAGCTGGAACTAAGACACTTATCTTTTATCTGTAGGAAAATGCTAAATCAGATAATGGCAACCACTGTGAACTATAGCATCTCAAGGGTATTATGGGGACTCCATGGCAGATGAGAGAAATATCTTTTTATCACTAAAAATGTTGAGCACTCTAACCATTTGGATGTATATTTTTTACTCTCTGTATTTAAAAGTTAAGTCTCATTTTCTACTTGTAGTTGACATCTGTTGTTATCATTTACTATTCTGTTACGTGCTGGAAGGATACATTCCCTAATCTTCCATTTTTGTGTGTAGGGACTTTTTCAGAAAACACTCCTAGCTCCTTGGTTCCCTGTATCCCCCTCTTCCCTTCCCCTCAAGGGAGGAAGAGTGAGCTACCTGATGGGTGAGTTTGGGTGCAGTGGCTGAGCATGTGACTCTTAGCCCATTTCTATTTTCTCTTTGTCACCTACAAATGTACAAACAGCTTTCTATGCTCCTCCATGCCATACATGACAGGAGCAGGCCCCCATGGGAGACTGCATGTCTATGATGGGGGCAGGCCCATCTAATTTAGGAATTAGCAAGCTCATTTGGTTAACAGACCTAAAGCCGTGTAGTAAGGCTGACATTTTAAGACTTTTCTACTTGGCTCCTGGGTCTTTCTCTCAACTGGCTCCAAACTAGGGTGGGGCATTGAGCTTCCTCAAACCCCAACAGCACCCATATCTCAATTCCCTCTAGAGAACCACCTTCTCCAACTCACAGTAAGTTTGAATTAAGCGAAACTGTCTCCACACATGAGACCCACAATTAGTTCCCCTTGGCTACAAGATTTGTTTAAGGATGAACATAGGGCCCAGTCGGATCTAATGAATCACAGTGATGTTTTTCTCATTGAGGAACTCTTAATTTTATCTGCTGGACCTAAAGGAGGGTGTAGGGATTAGAGGCATTGCTGCCATCCCATTGCAATACGAAGCCAAGAGATGTAGAAAAATGCTCATCATGCCATTGGTTGAGTTCAGGATTCAGTCACATCTGAAACTTATTCTACCCCTGGATTTTTCATCTTAAGTGAAACAATAAGTTCCCTTTGTGCTTAAGCTAGTTTGGGTCAGTTTCCTACTGCTTGCAATGGTGAATAGATCAGTCGTTATATTATTTTCACATTGTTAGTTTTAATTGATTTTAGATCACCACAGATCACCTCAATTACTCATGTTAGATCCCAGGTGCTAGAGATGATTTTAGAAAGTGTTAATTAGTAGCAGGAAGATACTTAGGTTTTAATGTTGAAATGTTATTATTTTAGGCACCTTTCATTACCTATTTATTTTGCCTATTTATTTGTTATTTTTGGCTAAACGATTCTGATGGGGTACTTGACTACAGTAAGTCTTTAATCAAGCTTTAACAATGCAATCACTTTATTGTTTCGTTTTGATTAACTGGAGAAGAGCAACTCTTGTTCTTTAAAGTCATAATGATCATTATAAATATCCTTAAGGAAACAACAAACTCTTGAGGAAAGTTATTTTAGTTACATCCCAACATAAAAGACTTGAAAATTTTTTTTTTATTATACTTTATGTTCTAGGGTACATGTGAACAACGTGCAGGTTCGTTACATATATATACATGTGCCATGTTGGTGTGCTGCAACCATTAACTCGTCATTTACATTAAATATATCTTCTAATGCTATTCCTCCCCCTTCTCCCCACCCCACAACAGGCCCCGGTGTGTGATGTTCCCCTTCCTGTGTCCAAGTGATCTCATTGTTCAATTCCCACCTATGAGTGAGAACATGTGGTGTTTCGTTTTCTGTTCTTGTGATAGTTTGCTGAGAATGATGGTTTCCAACTGCATCCATGTCCTTACAAAGGACACGAACTCATGCTTTTTCATGGCTGCATAGTATTCCATGGTGTATATGTGCCACATTTTCTTAATCCAGTCTGTCACTGATGGACATTTGGGTTGGTTCCAAGTCTTTGCTATTGTGAATAGTGCCACAATAAACATACATGTGCATGTGTCTTTATAGCAGCATGATTTATAATCCTTTGGGTATATCCCCAGTAATGGGATGGCTGGGTCAAATGGTATTTCTAGTTCTAGATCTTTGAGGAATCGCCACACGGTCTTCCACAATGGTTGAAGGACTGGAAATTTTTTACTGGGAATTCTGGTGGAGGTGGAATATAACCAGGAGGGTGTTGAGGTGTGGATGGGCAATGAGAAGAGAGAAGGGCCTTCTGGGAATGGGGAAGAAAATCAGTGGAGTCGAGAGTAAGGCACATTCATACCTGCTGAGGTGGAGACGGCTAGTTGTCTGAAAAATAAATAAATAAATAAATAAATAAATAAATAAATAAAAGTGAGTTCTCCCTTTCATTTTTTATAGAATTGCTGTTGGGAGGTGGCTGTTCATCCAGGGACTATATTTTCAACACTCTTTGCATCTAGATATGGTCATGTGACTTGTTCTCACCAGTGAAATGTGAGTGGAAGTGATGTATGTTACTTCTATGCCAAGGCTTTTAAAAAGTAGCCTACTTTTCTGGTACATTTCCTCCTTTCATCCCTACATCGTCCTTCTAGTGGTTAGTAGGGGCATAAACTCGAAGAAGCTTGGCTTCCTGAATCACTAAATGAGAGAAAACTTGTTTTGATTTTTTTTTTTTCAAGAGACAGGGTCTTTGTCTGTCACCGAGGTTGGAATGCAAGTGGGGTGACCATAGCTTACTGCAGCCTCGTACTCCTGGGCTCAAGTGATCCTTCTGCCTAGGCCTCCTAAAGGTGGTAGGATTACAGGCATGAGCCGTCACACCCAGACTGGACTATTTCATGAAAGGGAAATAAAGTTCTATTGTGTTTGGCCACTGTATTAGGCTGTTCTTCCATTGCCATAAAGGAATACCCACGACTGGGTAATTTATAAGAAAAGAGATTTAATTGGCTCAAGGTTCTGCAGGCTGTACAGGAAGCATAACACTGGCATCTGCTTCTGGGGAGGCCTCAGGAAGCTTTTACTTGTGGCAAAAGGCAAAGCAGGAGTAGGCACTTCACATAGAGAAAGCAGGAGCAAGCCAGAAAGAGAGAGAGGCAGGGGAAGATGCCACACACTTTTAAACAACCAGGTCTCTTGAGAACTCACTATCGCGCAGAGAGCACTAAGCCATAAGGGATCCACCCCCGTGATCCAAACACCTCCCACCAGGCCCCACCGCTAGCACTGGGGATTACATTTCAACATGAGATTTGGGCAGGGACAAATATCCAAACAATATCAGCCAGTGTGCATTTACAGATATATTTAATACAAAAATATCTCAGTGATTCTCAAAGTGTGGTTTCCAGACCAGGAACATCAGCCTCACTGGAGACTTGTTAGATATGCAGATTCTCAGGCCCCACTCTTGACCTCCTGAATCAGAATCTCGGATCCAGAGATGTGTGTATCTGACAAGCCCTCCAGATGGTCCTAATGCACACTCAAGTTTGAGGACCACTGCCTTGTGCCGTCCCTACCAACTTCATCGCCGCTCTAACTGATCAGTAGACATGGGTTGTTTCTCTCCTCAGCTTTGCCTTTTCCTGATTAAAATCTCAAAGTGCCTTAAGTTCCTGAGCTTCATTAGCAATGGTGCCGAAAGTTAAGGATAATGTTGAAAAATCTTGTGCATGTGGGAAGACATTTGGTGAGTTTGAAGTTCTGCTGAATTTTGAGAAAAAGAAACATCCTAAAAGCTTAAGAGAGCTTAAAAACAACTTTTGTTCAGTTCTAAACATTAGCACTTTTTATAAAAGGGCATATATCCTACCTAGAACAGGGGTCACAACCCAGATGCCCCCCAGGTAATCTAATCCAGGGGAGTGGGCTGAGTGGAGGGCAGCTACCCGTGTGAAGCAACAGCTTGTTGTTAAGAATGTGGGACCAGTGACTTCAGGTCTAAACATTATTAAAGAAAACTGCAGATTTGCATTTTCATTTTACATCTTCTGGTTTGTAAATGTTAACTCGCATTAAAAAAATCCAATAAACAAAACCAAAAATTTTGTGTGGGTCGAACATGTCTGAGTGTTTAATTTGGCCCCTGGGCTGCCAGTTTTACAACCTTTGTCTGGAAGTACCAGGGAAGCAGTCAGGCTGGCTAATGTCTCCTCTCACTCATTAGGAGGCAAAATAACTTTTACACAAATGATGAGCTTCAAAAGAGAGACGAATAAGAGCTGTACAAAGTAGTTGCCAAGGTAACATCTTGCTGATCAGAAAGGGGCGACAATTGGGTTTTATGTAGACGCAGTGGGAGAATGAAACATAATCTTTCTCTGTCTTCTTTCTGTTTAAGATCGGTGTGGAAATGGATGTGGACGCAGTGCTGCTGCCTGAGATTAGCAGGAAGCAATTCTTTTCCCATTTGGAGAGACCCCAGTGAGACCTGATCAACTAGCAACATGCGGAAGTCACACCATTAAATCTTCCAGTTTGCTAGCAGCAAATCAATGAACTCTGATAGCTGCTGCCCTAAGCTAGCATCCAGGGAACTGTGGACAAGCTATTTGATACCTGAATTTTAGTGAAGGAAAGTTAAATTTTTTCTTAAAGCAGGGCGGGAGTGGGGTTGTGTGGGGAAGATTGTATTAAGCAGTGAGAGAAGACAGTTGGAGTTTTGTAGAAAGAGAACTGGTTGTTTTAAATTGTATCTTAAATTTATTGTAGAGCTATTGGTAATCAGTGTTTTGTTTTTGTGTGTTTATATCAACCAATTAATAAGAAAGGCTTTTATTTTTATTTCATTAATTGTAGCTGAACTTTATTTTTTATTATAAATATAAGGCATTATTCTAGGGCCTGGCAAACATTGGCAGCCCCTTTTTTTTCTGAGCAAGATTATACCTTGGTATGTTTTCACCACCAGAAGATGAAAATTTGAGAACAGTGAGAGACAGATGCTTGCCTGAGGAGTTTTATTTTCCCTTTAATCCTTACCAAATATACAGATATTACCTATATTGCCTTGATCTGCTGTCTGAAGGTGGGTTTCTTCGATTGTTTGAAGAATTTTGGGCACTAGAGGTGCTTACTTTGTGATGGGAGCAAATAACAAGGTGTTGCCCATGACATGGTCAAGCCTCATCTTCAATTAGCCACCTATCTTGGACATGTTTTCATAGAGGTATATCTCATCCCTTTTAATAACTGCAGAATCTTGGACATTTAGAGGTCTCCAAATATTGGTTGTCATTTATGGTGATTCTTGTTTTTGTTATTATGATAATGTTGCAATAAATATCCTAGCAACCTATTTTTGCTTACATATAGAGTATTTTTGAAGAATAAATTCCTTCATGTGAAAATGAAGGGTCAAAATATAAATGAATTAAAATTTCAGTAGTCAATTGCCCTACAATGTAATTACAACAATTTATACTTCCAGCAGTAATTCATGAACTCTGCCTTACTATATAATATTTCTAATCTTTCCCAATCTGATATGGAGGAACATGTTTTATTATTCTAATTTTTTTTTCATTAAAAGAGAGACTTTGAACACCCCTCCATGTGTTTCAAAAACATTTGTAGGCCAGGTGTGGTGGCTCACTCCTGTAATTCCAGCACTTTGGGAAGTGAGAGGATTGCTTGAGCCCAGGAGTTCGAGACCAACCTGGGCCACCAACCTAGACAAGGGAGACCTCGTCTCTGTGAAAAAATAAAAACATTAACTGGGTGTGGTGGTGTGTGCCTGTGGTGCTAGCTGCTCAGGAGGCTGAAGATGGGAGGACTGCTTGAGCCTGGGAAGTCGAGGCTGCAGCGAGCTGTGATGGCACCACTTCACTCCAGCCTGGACAACAGAGTGAGACCCTGTCTCAAAACAAAACAATACAAAACAAAACTTTTTTTTTTTTCAGTAAATGTTTCTTTATTGATTTCAATTTCTAAGTATTTTTGGTATTTTTTTTTGATTGACTGAAGAGCTCATTATATATTAAGCAATTTAGACTTTTGTTTTTGTTTTTGTTTTTGAGACAGAGTCTCGCTCTGTTGCCCAGGCTGGAATGCACTGGTGCGATCTGGGCTCACTGCAACCTGTCTCCTGGGTTCAAGCAATTCTCCCGCCTCAGCCTCCTGAGTAGTTGGGATTGCAGGCACCCACCATCGTGCCTGGCTAATTTTTGTATTTTTGTAGAGATGGGGTTTCACCATGTTGTCCAGGCTGGTCTTGAACTCCTGACCTCAGATGATCTACCCGCCACGGCTTCCCAAAGTGCTGGGATTACAGATGTGAGCCGCCGTGCCCAGCCCAATTTAGACTTTTTAAACCAACTTTTGAAAGTTGGTTTAAAAAAAAATAAATGACTGGGTCATGTTCTAACTACTCGTAGTCTCAGCCAAACACAATTGCGGAAGGCCTAGCCAAAGGCTCTTTACTCAGTGAAAGTTCCATGAATCTCAGGCACAGAGGATAGTCTGGAAAGACCTAACCTGCACATGCAAATCGATTAAGAAAGACGAAGTCTTAGGCTTATATGGAGCTAAATAATTGCATGTTTAATGCAATGCCAGGGTACAGGTAATGTTGATTGGAGTTGGAGGGGTGATGTGTGTGCTGGGTGAGGAAGTCAGGGCTGAGTCCTAGGTGAGATCAGTAAGAGTGATGTGTATTTAGGCATCTGAGGGCTGGAACGCCCACGACAGGATTTATTTTCATTCTCTTTCGAGGAAAGCCATGCTGCCTTGCTGCTTCTCGCTCGTGCATAGAGCACTTGGTGTCTTGCGAATCCCCTGTGATGCCGGTGCCTTTCCAGGCCAATGCTTTGCTTGTGCTCAGAAGATGCTTGCTTGGGCCCTACCAGACTATCTTAGGGATGAGAAGCAAATTTTCTTTCCAGTGCTCTGTTTGGGCCCCCCACGGCATTTTCTTTCATTTTGGGTTCCATCCTGGCCTAAAGCTCCCCATGAAAGCTAATGGCCATTGGAGTTAACCCAAATTTTCTCCTTTGGTATTTATAAAAAGCAACACTGAAAAACCTTGAAATTAACTAACAATAAAAAACCATTGATCGGTTCTTTCCTGGAGATAGTTCTTTCTTCTCAAATAGGCCACTTTGCAGACTGGAAATCACCCCAATCCTCAAATTGCCTAATATGTTTCACATGTGATTCCAGCAAATTGCTGTTTGCATAACACCTTGGTGGGGACTCACTTAAGGCTAGATTTGTTAGTGTATTTACTGACATTTTCACATGATGTTTTGAGCTGCCTGAATAATTGTAATATTGGCCAGAAAAAAATCAAAGTAATGAAAGGTGCCTACAATTATTCATATCTCAACATTATAAGCCTTAATTTCCTGCCTGAAATGTGGTAAATTATTCATTTTTAAAGTCATCTCTAGCCACTGAGAGTTTATGGTGATGTATATAGATGTTTTGTACACTCCAAAAAAAAAAAATCAATGACTATGAATATCACAGACTGTCAAAATAGCTGGTGTGATTATAAAATAGTGAGATCAGCTAAAGACATCAGCTCTCAGACATCCAAATTGTAAGAGGAAAATGAAGACGAAGAAGGGGGAAGTGAATTGCTCAATGTCTTGTGGGTACCAAATAATAGAGTCAGCATCTGCCCCTGCCATACTCAAGATTTTGCACTGTTACTTACACACATTCATTCCTCTTTTTGCAGGCTTTGTCGGGCCAGGAGATGGTTTTGTAGCAGCAGAAGACTATAAACTGGGCTTTGGGAGATAGGATCTCTGGTTGTATTCTGGCTGTCCACACTCTGAAAGAGGACCCTGACAGGTATTGCCATAATTGGTGGCTAAGTTTCTAGGTTAGCCAACCTATGGCAGATTGGGAAGTCTTTATAATGTGAATAAACAGAAAAAAGTTTACTTGATCAAAAAAGATTTTTTCTCCTGGTGGAAACTGCAATTATTAGAGCAACTCTTTAAGTGCCCATCAATATCGGGATGCATTTTAACAGGTTAAGTACTCTTCTAACTGGGATGAATAGTGCATTGACAGAAAAATTAACACACAAGTTCTTATATCCTGCTTCTCTTATATCTAGTCACATAACCTAATGTGAATGTTTTATGCCTTTAAGTGCTGATATTATGGAAAAGCCTTCTAAAACTGGATAAATATTATTTTCCAAGGCTGACATCAAATATCACATCTTTCTCTGATTTTCTTGATCCTTCCTTCCAAAAAGAAATAACACCATATATATATTAGTATAATCCATTTTTAATTAACATAAAATTTCTCATTTTACAGAGAATTTGAGTATTCTACCAATATACCCACAAAAGGATGAAAGAGGATTTGGAGTCAAGGGAAAACAAGGGCAATAAAATAGATCCTTACCACCTACTCTCATACAGTTGCTAGAAGAGGACTGCACATTTGGTTCTAAGTTTCTGGAAGATAAAGCAAAAATAGAAACACTACTAATTATAAAATTTTGGTGTATCCATAAAATAAAAACAAATGAACTGTTTTGAGAAAACTCTTTCTGAATCTGAGCTCTAAAAGGAACTTCTCTATGGCATCCTTAGAATTTGAGCAGGCTGTGATACAGGGGAGAAATCCCTCGACATTCCTATATTGGGTTTAGATCTAATTTCACTCAGTAGTTTTTAAATGTTACTCCTTGTAGACAGATGATAAGGTGCCAAAGTACAGCTGAGTGAAAGCGGTTCCTTTAAAAACTAGAGGCTGTAAAAAACAAGGCTGCAGATCATGTTGTTTTAGTTCTTTTTAGATTTTTTAAACTGAATTTTGCATCTGTGTACATGAAGAATAAATTGTAGAATATCTAAAGAAGTGGATGGGCTGCTTATCTTTTAGAACCTCCATAAATTATTTATTGTAAGTATGTTTGATAAGGATTGTACAGCTGAGAGTTCAAGGTTGCATTTTTTTCCCCCAGCAAGAACCAAAAGTGCAGATAACATGCAGCCAATTAAGGACAAATCTGTATGGTTTGTCAATCAATCTGTCAGAATGACCCTGAATTGTAGCATTTATTGCTGGTATTATAGACATCTGTGTCCCTGGCATAACTGCATCCTCTTCAAGGGCAGGAATTGCTTCTTTTCCAGTTTTGCACTCTAGCATCCAGCATTATGTTTGAGACCTAGCATCACTTGGCAAAGATCAGAGCCCTGAGGAATCAAAGGCAGGAAACATAGGCTAGCTAAGCTTTGAAGGAAGTGAAAAGAAAAAGAGGCAACAAAGATGGGACCATGGAGGACAGTCTGAGAAAGCAAGCTCAGGGCGGAGGGGGGTGTTCCAGTGAAGGGGTGATGAGTGGGGCCTCACACATGGAGCAGATAACATTGGCGCATCAGTTGATTTAAATGAGCAGAATGGAAAGGGTCTAAAAAAGAGACGTGGAAATGAGTAGAAACATCCCTTTCCTGTTGGGCCAGCTATTGTCTATGGTTAGTCCTTTTCCCATCCTTATTTCCTCTCCTCTGAATTGCAAGTTGCTGGAAACATGAGAAATGCATTCCTAGCTCCCTTGGTTACTGGGCTTCAGTTAGCATTTGCCAATGAAGGTGAGCACTCATGGGAGATTGGAAAGTGGTAGAAAGGGAAGGCCATTCATCTGGCTGTGACAGTGGCAGCAATGGGCAGTACCGTGGGTGACTGGGGCTCCAACAGCATTGGTGGTGGCTCCAGCATCATCAGTGGGAGCTTGGGCTCCTGGGTTCCTGCTCAGCAGCTATGGTCAGTAGCTTCTGAGAGGGCCTCCTCTGATCCTCACCTCTTGGTATTCATGGCCTTGTGTAATCCCCTTTGCTTGAGTAACTTGCTGCCAACCAATAGAATATGGCAATGTTGAGAGATGCCACCTCTCTGACTAGGTTGCAAACGATTGTGACTTCTGTCTTGTTGGCAGACTCTCTCTATTTGCCTTTTGGTTTGTGTGCTCTGAGGAGGCAAACTGCCATGTTCGGGAGACCCACATGCCAAGGAATTGAGGGCAGACTGTCCACAGCCAGTGAGAAACCAAGGTCCAACAGCCTACAAAGCGCTGAATCCTACCAATAACTACGTGAACTTGAAAGTGTATCCTTCCCTATTTGAGCCTTCAGATGAGTGTAGCCTGAGTGACAACTTAATTGAAGCCTATGAGAGGCCCTGAAGCAGAGGAAGGACCCAGCTAGCTCACACCTAGATTTCTGATGCATAGAAACTGTGAGATAGCGTGTGTTATTTTAAGCCAGGTTTGAGATGATTTGTTACACAACAGCAATAGATAACAAATACGATGGCAGAGCTCTGTTCCAACAGCAGTAGCAAGCTTGTGCTTGCCGGCTCTGTATCACTCCACATTCACCTCTTTGCTTCTACAGCTATGGGACAATAGCAGCAGCATCATACAGTTGCCGATTTCTAGGTAATGCCTTCTTCCACTTAACCTGTGTTTTCAAAACCTTTGTCACTATTTTCCTATATTAAATTCCTCCATAATATCAGAAGAGTGACTAACGTATGCACACAACTATTTTTCGTGATAGGGAGGTAAAGGGAGCATTGCCGTATACTAAATGCAGTTATGTCTTTTCAGATGTTTAAGAAAGTGAAATGCACCTTTTTTCAAGTGAATAAATGTTTGCCTCTCCGTAGGTCTTGGTTTTTGGGAGAAGGTCAACTTCAAAAGATAGAGTCATCAGCACCTTCTTTCTTTAGTGTGCTTGGCTGTATATCCCTGCCCACCCACAGGCAGCAAAGGCAATGCATGAGGGATTCTGAAGGACACACAGCAGCTGCTTCTGTTTTCATGTGGGAGTCCAAGGAAGTATAAATGCTGCATGCTCCCTGTAACTAGAATAAAATATTATGATGTGTGTATAAGGGCAAACTCCTAACTCAGCAGGTGAACAACCATATCGACTTCATTCCCCCTGGAGACTGAAATTAGAAAGAAACCTACATATCAGGCCACAGCAGCCCTTGATGAAGCTCAAAAGAGAGGTGGCAAACTCACAGCTACACAGCAAAAACCAAGTCAGAGGCAGCAAAAGCTGCAGCTTGAGAACAAAGGGAAAGAAAAAGACTAGTCAAAGAGGCCATATCTACCCACCCACAGAAAACCCGGAGAAGAAAATGAGTTACATTTCTCCCACTGGAAGGCTTAGGGGAGGAGACATTTAGGAAAGCCACAGGGGCAGAAAATTAGATAGTTTATCTGAAAAAGGAAAAATGAACTAAAGTGTGCTTTTGATAGATGACTGGAAGTGAGCACAAAGGCAAAACACCAACGTACACTTGGCATCTGAAGAATGCCTTTTATCCAAAGATCTTAGAGCAGTTTTAGTGTATTAATTTACTTGTGAGATACTTAAATTATTATTCGTTCGTTTTTATGTGGCATTTTATTCTAAAATTTGCTAAAGATTTTACAACTCAAGTACATTGGTTATTCCCCAAACAAGACTCTAGATGTAGTGTGGCCATTACTGTATGACACATGTGGACACTGACCCTCAGAGATGTCAGGAAACAGAGAGAATCAGGGGAGGCTGGAAGATCAGCGATGACTGTATGAACACTGAATAAGGAATGGGGAACTCTATGGAGACAACTCAGTCTTTTCTTTGGCTATTTCTTCATGGCTTCTGTGGTAGGTAGTATAATGGTCCTCCAAAGACATCCACGTCCTAACTCATAGAACCTGTGGATATGTTATCTAATACGGTGGAAAGGACTTTGCAGATATATAAGTTAAGACTACTGAGAGGGGAAAATTCTCCTGGGTTATCTGGGTTGGCCCAATGTAATCACAAAGATGTAAGGGAGAGAGGGAGACATGAGAGTCAGAGAAGGAGATGTGATGATGGACAGGGATTGCAATGATGTGGGGCCATGAGCCAAGGAATGTGGGAAGGGCACTGGAACATCTTCTTCATCTAAAGCTGGAAAGGGTAACGTTACGTCTTCTCCTCTAGAGTTTCCTGACAATCCGTCTTAGACTTCTGACTTATAACTGCAAGACCATAACTTTGTGGTGTTTTAATCCACTCAGTTTGTGGTAATTCATTATAGCAGCCACAGGAAACTCATACAGCACCTTTGAGGAGTGGGGGGCTGCACTGCAAACCTAAAATTTTATTTTTTGAGTTATTTGGGTAACACAATTTTAGAGGATTTTTTTCAAGAACTAATTGGATATGTATTAATAACAATTATGGGTTTAGTGGCTTGAAGGAAAAATACAGTGGCGGTAACAACATTAATAGTAATGGGTAATAGTTATTAAGGTTGTGTGTGCCAAGTGCTGGGTAGGGGTGTGGATGTTCCTTCCCTCTCATTTTCTAAAACAGTTCTATGAGATAATTTTCTTCATTTTACAGAGGAGGAAATTGAGTCTGAGAGAGCCATGCGATTAGTGGTGGAGCTGGCATTTGCACGCAAGCATATCTGACTCTTGACTACGGCTTGAAATGGTTTTACTGTATACTTAATTCATTGATGGGAAAGAACAAGTCATGTGTGAAAGCAGGGACATGAGCAGGTGATGACAGAAAGTTGAGACAGGCCTCCGGTGGCACTGGGGATGTATATTGACTCTGCCTCAGCCACGACAGAGGTGAGGGACACTGTCTCCTTTCTGTCTTTTCTCTTCTACCCATGCCAGCCAGCCACTTTATAAAGTACCCACCATCAGCAGGCAGCACTTTTCCCCACTCTTTCTTGCCAAGTGTGACACTTCTCTTGAAAGAAAGCACACAATTGCACACTGCAAGATGAGCGTCTTTCCTGCCAGAAACAACAAGGATGCCGAGGCTGTGGGGCTACTTTAGCTGCCATAAGTGAGAAGGGGGTTGAGTGGGTGGGATCAGGAGGATGTAAGATGAGAAGACCAAAATCTTAATGAGATGCTGCTGGAATCAGCATAAACAAGTATGGTATCAGAGCTGAAATAATTCAAAATATTACAAGTGCCATTGTAAAATATAATGCTCCCTACTTCATAGGGTGGCTGTGACAATGGAGTTAATAAATGCAGAGTGCTTTGAATGGTGTTATAGAAGTGTAGCTTCTACTCCACTGCACCCACCCTGCAACTACTCCTGCTGCTACCAGCGCCACTGTTATTATCACCACTGCCATGATTACTACCACTATCACAATTACTCGTTCTATTGCCGTTGACTACCTTTGCTACCATCACATTATTTCAACTGCTACCACTGCTGCTGCTATTACTACTACTGTACCGTTACTATGACAATTATTACCATTACTGTTAATGTCAATCTGTAGGCATAGGAAGTGCTTCCGTTATAATAAATATGCCAACTGACTTCCGGACCTTCAATAAGGGTGGCTAGAGCACATCCTCAGGTTATCCTGGATTGCCTGGCAATAGTTCCCAGTTTGATTCTTTTCTCTGGGCTGTTGGTATTCTTCTGCTACGGCTCAGGTTTGGGCAAAGTGGCTGTCATTGCCCCGAGCTCTCTGAGGTAGCAACTCTGCCTGCTTCACT